GGTTTAGGGATTTAAGGTTTAGGGTGACATGATGGCTTGGACAACCGTCCTTGTCCACCAGCATTGCAGCATACTCGCCACCGTCCAGCTCGTCGAATTTGGTGTCGGCGTCGTCTTCATTGGAAAATGCTTCTCCTGGATTGTCTCTGGATATGTTCGCACATCAGGAAACAAGGACGGCACGACAACAAGAACACGCACAAAACACGATAGCACAGCATGCTAGTAACCGTGCAAAACATGCCTTTGAATGATTCCTCCGAGACTTGACAACGCAAAGATGTGGAAACCGAAATTTGTTGAATGCTTTGGTTGTGTTTAATGTTGATGCTGTTGGCTGCCATATTCTTTCTAAGCCGTGTTTTCGCCTTTGTCTGTGGTCGTTGTGTCGCTCATTTTATTTGTGTTTGTGTCGTTGGCGCTTTTAGCTTTTTTGGCTGTAAGCTTTTTTTCTGGTGGTGGAGGCATTTGTTTGCAATGCAAAGTGGGTTGGGCTCTGAAGTTTTCCTGGCCTGGTGCTAGCGCCTGCCTCTGGTCCTGCGGTCCTCAGGTTATCCGACCCATTCTGACCGTCCGGCTCCCTCCCCCAGTGTTCGAAGAGATGTGGCCTAATGAGGGGGCGAGTGGAAGACGTGGGACCAAAAGATTAGCTTAATGAGACGTCAGGATCAAGGTAGCATTATTCATTCAAACTTCTACTATGTGATCAACATCTTTGTGTATGAGAGGTCGGGGCTATCATGTGGGACCTGCCACCATTGGCAGTGATGGGTCAGAATAAGACACAATTAGACGTGATGTGATTCTGATGAACCGGCATCGCACAATGAGGGGCAAACTAGAGATATGACAACAACCGCCATCGCCAAGGACAGGAGACCAAAATGGATCAACCGACATCGCCTGATGAGGGGTCGCTTCGAAAATGGCATCAACCCATTGGATATCCCCAACTGCTTGCCGAAAACAGAACCTGACAAAATCGAATTCCCAAGACTTGCCGCACGACCCTGCGAATCGTAATTCCCCGACTACGTGCCGCAAGAAACGACAGTGCGAAATGCAACACGAAATTGGAATTCCAAATAGCTTCACACAGAAAAACAAGACCACAACACCTGAAACAAGTCCATGACTAATAGCACTTCGGCAACGGCAACAACCGCGATCGGCCTTTGACTTGGCCCCAGTCGACGTGCCAAAGCACGGTGTATACCTGCACGGACCACGGCCATAATCCCGGCACCGGTTCATGCTTTGTGAGAACGACCAGGGCACACTCGCACATGGAGCTGCATGACTTGGCAGCTTATTCGAATACCCTTACTCGAATGTCCTAGACGAAAACGGTGTTATGATTTGTGGAGATTTGTGGTAACCCAACCACGGCCTCACGGCTTTCCATGCCAGCTGCTTTGGATTGCATGCTGTACACTGCGCTGCTGAAAGGTTCCGGATGGAACTTCTTCGGCGCCTGCATTGACCGTAGAAGTCTGACGCAACAAGTTCGGGCAACTTAAACTGACATGGTGCTTGGATATAACAACCGAGGTCCTGCGTGGAGCGTGGAAGGTTACCACTGGAACGGAATGCAGCACGTGCTTCGTCCTTCCAAATTTTGAGTTCGGTGCCTGCACCTGGACCTTGGAATGCTGCACAAGGCTGAAATCCTGTGTCCGTCGCGAGGCTACGAGAAACAACAGTGCATTGGCAGTCCCCGAGGTCAGCCCACTCTCTGGTCGCCGCATTCGCTACGTCGCGGAAGGTTGCTGAAAGATCCATTGCCTTGGCACATGCCACGAATCAGCATCAGCAAAATTCAGCGACAACAACAACAACATATTCACCCATCTCATGTTCAATCCAATGTCCTCGGGAAGTTGAACCGACCCGTTGCCATTGCCGAAAGATCAACAAACCCACCCACCGAATCCCCCAAAAACACACATCCATATCTGCTAGAAATCACCTACAACAGTTTGATTATGACGTTCAATCTGCTTGTTCTGGTCTCTGATTACTCGGTTCTGGACTTCTTCACATAGCTTCGGGAAACTTGCGTCATGTCACTAATGTCTCGGCACTCAAAAAGAAACAAACGTGGGTATAACACAAAGACCTTTGGCAAGTAAACGATTGTAAAAGTACATACTGCCATAAACTCGTTTTGCCATAAAGGTTCAGGGAACCCTATGGAACAGTATTTCTAAATACTGAAGCCTCTAACGCTCTCTGGCGGTGCAATCATAGCGCCTTCGCGCAACTCAGACAACCCTTAATTAATCATTGCCGGCACATAGTGCCTGCTTTTGCCGGAGAAAAGCACCGAAGCCAGTAGGGTCGCGAGCTTTCCGTTTCCTTCGGGCAGGTGCTGGACAAACGGCGACCACACCTTCGCATCCGTGCCTGCGTTTTTTCTGCGTTGGTGCTGCCTCGTCTTGGGCAACGGCTGCCTGAACCTGCAGAATGATTTCGAAGTTTGCAAACGCACGAACTGCAAATATCTGCTTCCAGCTATGCACGCTGCTTGCTGGGACTTCATCGTGCAGACATGGCAGGGGGTCTAATGGCAGCAACATGGGGGGCCTTCATGACGGTATCATCCACCATCATGGACATTTTGGTCTCCGGTAGTTGACGCGCTTCAAAAACCATCAACTCTTCCTCGAACTGGTCCTCACGCAATGCTGTGACGATCTATGCCGACATGATAGTCCAGGTTTGGGGCCATGGACCAGACCCAACCATGTGCTTCTTCCATGCAGTGGGCAGTAAACCAAATGCATGAACGAGACACTCGGCGACACAAGCATGAAACATGCAGAGCAAGCACCAGAAACATGGAATCGGCCACGGCAATACAAATGGCTGCATCGTCTGTCCTCCATTTCTTTTGTGATGTGGCTGCGGGTTGCTAGTTCCTGGCCACGCACACAAACACGGCAACAAAACAGAACTGCAACGAAGCATCACGAAACAATAAACGCTTCGACACTGGAAACCGCTCGGGGTTGCTCAACTGGCATGAACCCAGAATAAGCAACACACAAATTGCTTTGAATCATGCCGCCGCCACGTGTGTGGCTTCCAATGCATTGAAGCTATCACCGCTTGTTGCCGGCGGCGGCTTCGCCAATATCTCCTCCATGACCATACCGTCATTCTTGCTTGCATTCTCCTGCCGGGCAGCTGCCGCGTTAACGACAAAAGTCCCAATCCTTCACCCGCACGAATACTCGCGGTTCCAAACCTGAACCTTGCCTCCCTTCATGCTGCAGTGCACTGTTGCAAGCTAACCGCAACCCGGAAATATACCTCCACCGGCTCAGGTGCTTCCGCGAGTGTCGGCAACGGAACCAACGGGCCGGATGCCTGGCAGAATGTTAGTTGCTTTTCGAACATGAGCACCGCCCCAACTCCCGCCCCCCCCCCCTCCCCCGAAAAAAACGAAGTGAACACAATTGCCCTGCGCACCTCAGATTCGGATGTAGCGTGTTGGGGTTTCTCCGGCAACGAACCACTCGGAATGGTGACCAAATTTCCTGACAACATTGGTGTAGTCGCAGGCATCAAGCATCGTGAATTGTGCGCGAAGCATACCGCTATCTGCACGCATGGCTCCATACAAACAACCACTGCCCGTGGCAACCCTCGATTCGTACACACTGAGTTGCTGCCATGGATCCTGCCCGGGCAAAGATTCCATGGTTTGGCTTGCATGAAAAATATGCCTTCCCTTTGACGGAACCGTCCTTGGTCCAGGCATGCATGGATCAATGTGGTAGCTGGCCGACCACACCGGAGGGCAATGCACCGCATGCACAAAGCTTCGACAAACACTGCGCCATGGGGCATTCTTCCCCAGTGGTTGGTCCAATTCCACACCGATCCTTTGAACGCGCTGACAAGGAGTGGAAAAAACAGCTTGCCAAACCGCTGCTATGCGCTGACATCGCACACCTATTAATTTATTAACCAACCACCATGATTGGCCATCGTTTCCCCGTGCATGTTAGTATATATATATATATATACCTCTGTTTGTTCAGAAATTTTGGCCTTGAAAGACTTGTTACATAACTGTTGTGACGCCTGCTTCGCAAGCGTGATTGCAAACACGTACTTAAACATAGCCACATCAAGACACACCACAAACCACCACCGAATTCGTGCGATTCAATTTACACATTGGCATGCTCATTACGAGGAAAACGTCTTTGCACCGGTGCGGAGATAGTATGTGCGGTCAACAACGGGACCAATGTTGTTTTGCCTTGTCCACAACACCCGGAGTTGGTGTGAAAACGTGTTCGGACGCAGTAAAGGTGTGCACTCGTCGTGCACTTTATGAAAGCGCCGGACAGCTTTACGTGGTCAACTGTCGAAAAAAATGTGGCTTGAGGTGTCCGCAATCCCACGCAGTAGATATTTCACAGCATCCGTTTATCGGGGCCAAACTAATCTCCGAATGCTGCATGTTCTTTGAATTTTCAAGCTTTTTTGCAAATTGCGATAGTAATCGCCCGTTTGTACCAGCCGTGACCCGAGAAAAATTGGTAATGAACAAATAAAAGTACCAGTGATGGCAATAGCAACAGCAACAATATAAATAATGCTGAACGTCGCCGTCGTAGTCGTGGTCGTAGTCGTGGTCGTAGTCGTCGTAGTGGTAATCGTGGTACAGTAGTAGTACTAGTAGTAGTAGTAGTAGTAGTAGTAGTAGTAGTAATAGTTATAGTAATAGTAATAGTAATAGTAATAGTAGTAGTAATAGTAATAGTAATAGAAATA